CCCCCCCCCTTAATCTTCTTTGATAAGGACACCAGTGCCCTGAATAGTAGATCCTTTTTTCTCTCTAGGCAACGGCTAGATCCTTTATAGATGTTTGTTATGACAAGATCGATTTCATTCTGTTTCGCTATTAGTTAGATTCGTTTCTAGCAGGAACTCCAACGATGTCTTTTGTGGGTGTCTGATCTGATCACAGACATACTGGAGATCACTGAACGTGGGCTAACCAGCAGAGTGGAATTTTTCTTAACAGCCGGATGGAGAACAGATGTGCTCTAAGCCAGTCACATATGCCAGAATTCAACCGAATTTCAGGCACTTGGAAAACAGTACAGTCAGCAAACTAGATGTGCCATTGGATCGTCTGTTTCTCCTACCGTTCATGAATTACACATGGAACAATTCGAAGAATTAGCAGTGGTAGCAACGGCACTTCGACCAAAGGCAAGTACAGGTACGTGAAAGATACTTGGGTGCGGTGGCACCTTGAACTCAACGAAGTCAACGAATTTTGGGCACACCTGAACAGCATCCACAAGAAGATCTGATTCACCTGTGAACTCGAAGAAAGTTTAAGGCTTACGTGTTTAGACGTTTTATTGTATAAGGAAGGGGATACCCCAAAATTACCGTCTGCAAGAAGCTTACTCTGGAAGACAGATTAACTATAGATCCCACACACCGGTATCGGTGAAAGTTGTACGTGTACAATCACTGTATCAATCAGAAATGTGCGGATATGTTCGAACCCCACCGCAGTACAAAAGCAGGGGAACAAATTGATCAACGAGTTAAAAGAACATTTTTCATTTTGGAGCAGTTCCGAATAGTAGGCTGGAGCTGAACGAGATCAATCATAACCTAGCTGCTCATCCATCGGCTAACATTAATGGTTTCTCGCTATGACTGATTCTGTATCAAAGGATTCTGACTTAATGCATACAATGGTGCATGAACAAAGACGGCGTTAGGACAATGTGCCGCTAAACACAAAAGTTACAGGGACTTCTTATATATGATAATCCGATCACCAGACAATACCCCGGGACTATGTATCGCTTCAGTTGCACTTGTGAGGACACCTACAATGAAGAAACAGAACAAAAACTCAGAAATAGGAAACGATAACATGTAATCTGTATATGCAGAGCAAATAATAGTTTCAACGGTCAAAACAGCGTCGTAAAGAATCATATCATCCACTTGCAGTCCACCAACACAATTCCAATGGAAAGGGGGAGCTGGAGAAGAAATTAAGATATTGGAAGCTTCAACACCGGAACAAACCAGCAACAAAGTGAATAGGCAGGGAGAGACATATGATCATGGTGACCGCCACTGCACCATTAACGCTCCAGTATCTAACCTTGTGCTCTATTTGTTGCTTCATGTGCCTTTTATTACAATGCATGTTTGCCATTGCACCAGCTGACGCAGTTGAATCAGTCAATTGATTCAAGCCACTGGCGCGATTCCAATTAGGCTCATCATCGCAACGGGACGGAGGGGGCAAGAGAAATATACCAAGACTTTTCTGTAGGCAGTTTACAACCGGGAGCTGCAAAATAGTCTTGAACTAGTTAATCCGTTTGAATCTATTTTAACTACAGTTTGAATACATACAGAAAATGTATTTTGTGATATTTAATATGAAACCAATACTTCTTTCTGCTTGAAGCTTCTTCGGAAGACACCTCATACGCCTACTACAAGGTCTTCATCGTCAGAATTGTTACTTTACACAACACAGTCAAGAGAGGTATTTTTCTGTTAGCAAGAGTGAATTAAGTTCAAAATAGATGCTGAAATCTTTTGCTTACACCGACAACTGCTCGGCTAAAACTTTTGTTCTTTATGGGAAAGGATAAAATCAGTGATGGCTTTCTTTTCAATGAAGTCCTGCTTTAAAGATATAACAAAATACGATATTCCGTCTATTCAGTAACAGTATTCTTCAAGTATAACAACAAATCGTGCGGTAACGTACACAGAATATTGCACCGATATGCTGCATTATCTGTCCTTTATCGCGCAATTTTTTGTTATACCTGAACTAAGACTGATTAGACGAAACACTTGTCGTTGTAAATGATGGATTTAATCTAAGTACTAAGTACACGAAGGAAACGATTCGAAACTGTGCAAAAACCTATTGTTTTATTACTGCCGAATACAAATGATAAAGTCAGTTTCAATTATTAGCAGCACGTCACTGATATGGGCATCACAAAAAATTTTTTATTCTGCCTAAATTCATAAAGAGATTAGAATTGAAAATTTTCGAATATTTCGTTTGTACGTTGACAGTAATTCTGACATACAACTACAACGATTGAAACACAGTTGGGTATGACCAACGCAGATGAGTAGGTCTAATCACTGCGCCCCGTGGCTCCACGCCAATGAGCTGTTGCAAACAAAGAACGTTTTATCGACAAACGACTAGCAACGCTTTAAAGATCACCAGCGACAAACGACTAGCATCGCTTTAAAGATCAAGATTTGTTAAGCTTCAGCCAAAATATAATAGGCAGTTTCTCATCCGGTAACCTGATTCTTCTGTGCTGCGTCTTTCCTGTCGTGTTCCATGAGAAGAATCAATCAGATTCCATAATTGAATTCCTAAGAAAGGAATTACTTTCAAGATATTTATGGTATAATTCTCCCTGAAATCAAGTTTATTATGATGGTTCTGTAACGTTTCGATAGGTTTATAGGTAATTATTTGGTTTACACAATGCACTTCGTTAATGTCATAAGTTATTTGTATGCCTGAGCT